TCTATATGAATAATTCAAAAATATATGTACGATCCTATACAAATCTTATTTTATACTTTATCTGTCATATGTACAAACTCAGATTGTACTATATGAATGGTTCAAAACTTAACCTATTGCTTTGATACATCCTATACAAATATTATTTCATACTATGTTAGTCATATGTATAAATTAAAATCATACAATACAAATAATTAACACAAATCATGCTTCATTTGGTATGAATGTGAATGACCCCATTTCGTACTCTGTTAGTCGTCTATATGAACTAACACATATATTACGAACAGTTAACAAAAATCATGCTTTGTTTGGTATGTGGACGACCCCATTTTGTACTCTTTCAGTCATCTGTATGAACTGATATCGTACAATACAATCAGTACAAAAAATGCAAGGCATGATTTGACTTTATTTTGGAGGAAAAATATGATAAATCATCTGGTATGATTAGTTTAAAAATTTTAAGTTTTGATATTGTCCCTCAGTGTGTATATGTGCATGGTTGCCCAATTACAATCACACTCTCTCTAACTCAAGTAAAATAAAAAATTTACAGACTTCATTACATGAAACCCTAAACTACTCTGTCTTAACGTCTTTAATTATTTGGAGTATGATTTTTCTGAAATATTATTACACACAAACAATAAACAAAAAATGTCCAGTACATGCTAATAGAAATGATAAAATTAACAGAATAATAATATTTTCTATCATAAAAAAACACATTCTTAAGCTGGATTCCTCAATTGCAACACTTATTTATATAGCAACAATTCTTACAATACAATTGATTATAATCAAATTACATAATCTTCATATGTTCCTTTTCTTTATAAGGTGAATTTAAAATTAAAATAATTGTAGCGCAGTGCATATTATATTGTATGATGTTATAAGCTATATACCAAATTTAAACCCATGAATTTAAGACAACAACAACAATAACATCAAGCCTTTATCCCACTCCATTGGATGGGCTCCATGAATCCATTTTCTCTATTATTAAAGTCTAATTTAAATCTAATAAAATGGTTATTTCTAATGCTTTCTAACCAATTTTTTTTAGGTATATCTCCACCTTTCTTAACATAGGCTAGATCTAATACATCTATTCTCCTAATTGTGTTATTAGAAAGCTAACATTTTTATATGACCAAATCACATAAAGCAACTCTCTCTAATCTTATCTGCCTAGAGCTACTCTTGCCTTTCATTTATTTACTTATTTTGCATTTTGTTTCTAAGTGTAAAAGCCCATTGATTTAAGAGCGAATTAAAACTAAAATCCCATAAAATATCATTCTATTCAATCCCAATCATATAGTTTGATTAGATAGAGATGGTTTTTCTAGAAATTAGATAATTTTACTAATCATATTGTATGGCCCAGCCAAAGTTTTTAATAAATAACCTTAGTGTTTTCTAATGAAGTCATCTTATAAATATACTTTTTAAGAATCCCAAAATTGATTTTTTATTAAGAGGCAACTAAAAATTTGAAAGCTTTAGAAAGAAATATCATTTATAACTTTACTTTTCTTTTGAGATTTTTACACCGTTCAAGAGAGTTTTTTTTTTGTTAGAGTTTACACCATTGGATGATGCCTACGAATAGCACCCCTAATCCTCTAATTTGAGAGTTTAAATCTCTAATCTTAATTATAATTTGTGGTGATTTTCTTGTAAATAACTTTTGATCATGGGATTTTTTTTGGTGTATTGTGGAATCAAGTCAGTGGGCTAGGGTAGCCTTTTCTTCAAGGAAAAAAGTTTGTGAGGGTTTTTTTAAAAGCCATAAAGGAGAGGTATCTCCAACTTACTTTGAGTTAAACAAGAGAGGTAGTGAAATTCATAAGTTGAGGACTTGGGAGTGGGTGTAGCTTGATCTGTTGTACCACTATAATTCTAGTTTATACTTTTCCATTTTGCCATTTTATTACTTTGTCACTACTTGAGTGATATGTGTGATGAATTTTATTAATGCTTTTATAATATCTTGTGGTGTGATGAATATGAGAAAATAATCATAATCTTGATAAGTTATAATTCCATATTAATGTAAATTTAGTGTTTCATAAGAATAGAGTTATAGTTTTAAATTTATTTTTATGAAATATAACTTTCTAAAATCTTATAGTGAAGTGCCTCCAAATGTTTTTAATAATATATAATAAATTAAGATGGTTAATCAGTCCATCTCATAGTGCACAATTAATTTTATTTAAATAAATGTCAATTTCCACTACCCTCACCTCCCCCCCCCCTAGATATATACTTTCAATTTGCCTTCTATTGATCCCTATGAGCATATAAAGTGCATTAATTAGGTAAAATATATCAATCCTCCACTAGAATGCTATAGGCATATCTTCGAAGCTCAGCCACCCACTAATCATTTGACTACATTATTCATGTCTCATATCGCATGATAATTCCCTAATCTACCATATAGATCATTACATTTATCAATATCAAACTTAATGACCAATATATTATTATAACTTAATAATCCACCTCACGTGAGTTGAATGCCTATAAAAACTCCACAATTTGACCTTCATATGATTTGACTTTAATTTACTATATATCATACCAAAGACATATAGAAAGAGAGAGATTAGATATTAAGGATTTTTTTTTTTTGTGATTAGTGAAATCTCATCCCATCATATTTTGGATATAAGTCATTATTTTAGATCACCCATACCTTTCATATTGTCTTCTCTTTTTCCTATCATATATTCACTCTTCACTATCTAAAAATGCTTAACCTTCTAATATATCACATTAGACTAAGCCTTTATTATTTTTCTCTTAAGTTAAAAGCCTAGAACTTCAACTTTCTCATATCTATTGATTTCCTTAACCAACTTTCACTGTACACATTATAAAATTATACAATTAGTCTGAAAACTACCACCCTTTTACAACTTTTATAAACACATGTTACACACCATCTTTGTGGGTGATGCTGGATAATATTTGTCATTGACTTAATAGTTTTTTTATAGCTTTTTTTTGTCTACACTAATCTTCACTTATCACCTTATTCATGAAACCTCTATAATTAGCCAATATCTTTTCATGACATCCTTGACACCCATCAACATGCAATCACTATATGTCCGCCCATTTAACTAGTAATAAACCCTAAACTTATCACCTTGATTGTATATATAAGCTCTTTGTAAACCATTATAATTGATGCTCTTAACACCAAACTCTCTCGACCATTTATTGCTGAAGTTCTTGTTAAGATGGATTATTTTTTTCCCTTTGGCTTTCGAGATATTGATTGATACTTCTTTATGTGGCTATTTATAGATAGATGATTTTGATGGTTTTCCCTCAAATTATAAATTTGATAATTATTTTATTCATGATATGTTGATTTCTTAAATACACATTTAAAATTGAAGAAGCATCCTCTAAGGATCTATCTACTAAGATGAGTTCTTTTGTTCATTATATGAACGAAAATAATAATTGTGCTATAAATACTCTTGATCACATGATGTTGGTTGCTAATCTCTCTTCATTATTCCCCTTAGGTTGTTCTTATGATCACAATTTTTCTCCATATTCTTCTATTAAGCTAGCACTTTCACTTGTTATTTATGGTTTATTGAATGATACTACTCCCATGTTCCTAAGGTTTTAAAACTTCTCTTTTAATTTGCCTATGCCATGCATGGGCTCAACATTTGTTAGCCTATTTGTGGATCCTATTACTCTTAGTATTTTTCCACCATATAATTCTTTATCCATATTCATGAATGTTATAATATACTATCTAAAGTGGAGGGTTGTGATTATTCTAACTAGGTTCAATCTTAAAATTATATTAAAAATTTTGTTGATTTAGTTGATAAAAGATTTCATATGGTGTTTTAACAACGAGGTACTAATTGGGAGTAAGTCTTTCAACATTCACTAGGATTTGCTAAATTCTAAAGAAGAAGTAATAACTCCCCTTGATGAATTTGGCATTCTAAAGAAGAAGTAATAACTCCCCTTGATGAATTTGGCATTCAGAATTTAGCCAGTGTCTCCATGATAATATTTGATCTATATGCTCTATATTAACTTGATCAAATGTATTTTCTTTTCCTTTCTTAATAATAGTATTATATAATTGTGCTATCATGTATCTTGTTCACTAATTAGTTATAATATTTCATTGTTAATAAATATATAACTAAATTTTAAGCAAATATCATATATCTAATTTTTTACATATTCGCTTTATCATTTAGAATGCAAATTTATTTATTTATTTACTTATTGGGAATGGGGTTTTATCCCCACTTCCTTAGAAGGAGCATGACAGCATTATAAATTCTTCAACGGAATCTAACGGAGCCAGCCAACAGGTATCATGCCCTAGCTTTGCTACTCCCCTCAAAGGAGGCGAGTCGATCGAGATGGAATTTGAATATGGGTTGGGGGTTCTCAATTATACTCGCCCACAACCAAGCTACCCGGCTGGTTATAAGCAATTGTTCAACTTCTAAAGTATTTGCAATGTTATGTGTGAAGAATTTGAGTGAAAGGACTTTAAAAGAATATTAAAATAATAACATAAATTTATAATCAATGCATAAAATAAAATAAAAAAGTTTCATTTGACTTCTTCCATCGTTATTGAGAAAGTTTTTAAGCTGCTCGCTTTTGGAATTACCCAAACGCGACACGTCAAATCATAAATACCCTCATATATCATGCAACAAGATTCGTGAACCTTAAAGAATGACGGATTTACCCTTCGACGCGGAACAGTATTACTGAAGCTGTTATCATTTGTTTTGTGATTTATTCCTGCGAGGGTAAGTCGGGTGAGTGGAAGTTTCGAGACGCCTTTGAGGTCGTCTCAACTCTCAAGTCGCTGGCGAAAGGAGAAGGCAGCTTCGATATTTTTCAATTACTTAAAGGGTAATTTAGGCATATTTTAAGTAAATCGTGCCATAAAAGGTCCGTCTCCGCTCGGACATCTCATTCGTCTACTCACTGATATATATTTTTTAATAAGTTTTTTTTTTTTGCACAAATTGTCATCATACCTTCTTTTCTGCGTTAGGGTTTTGAAGCAAATCTCTACTTCGATCGCGCTAAGCCTGCAGGATTTGATCCAAGAGTTTAATTTCTCTCGTTCTCTTGGGTTCCGAACTCTCCTATTCTCGCGCGTTCGACGAGTTAGGGCTTTCCTTTTTCGGTAAGTTTTTCTTTTGGTTCTTTGAAGGATCCGGTGGTCTTACGCTGATTGAGATTTGAGATTGAATGGTTTTCTTAATGAATCTCGATCCAATTCTTTGTATTTTAATGTCGTTAGAGGGCATGATGATTATTTTAATGCTGGAAATTGATTTCTTTTCTTGTATGTAATTTTGACGGGTGAATTTTTTTTAAAATTTTTTTACGGTTAATATATATTTCAGCATTTTTCTGATTTGCTTATTTAGATGTGATTCCTACTTGCCTTTTCGCATTGGCCAATGCGTCATGAAGGAGCTAGAGTGATGCATGATCTGGTTGCGTAAAAAAAACGTAAAGCGATTTCATTGGAATGGTGCAAATGTGTTACCTATTTAGCCTGTTTTCTCTTTATGAATTTTCAACCAATTGAGTTGTCATGGATGGATGCCACCTTCTTGATCTAGTAAGGCTCAAAAAATTGTATTGAATTAGCGCCTGGTAATATAATATGGCATTTCATAAAATAATTCTTTTAGATTAGTTATATATTATGTGATTTGGGGTTGCCTTCTAGTTCAATTGAAGCTTTCTTGTTTTCATTCAAGTTGTTCCTTGATGATAAATGGTGAGAAGCTTAGAAATCATGATGCAATATCCTAAGAGCAGGAATATGAGCCTAGAAAGTGGGTGAAGGAAAGGAAGAAAAGGTGCATGAAGTTTATAAATAAGATCCAATGGAGATTTACATCATAGAACGATAAGATCAGATCTGGAGGTTGCTGCACACTGAATTCTTTGATTTGAGAGTTCATTTTTCATGGTTTAGTACATTTTGATAGGTTCTTTAAGTGATGTTATTTAATTGAAAAGAAGGGATTGTGTGCAATGAAATGGATGGAAGGGAGCTATCTAAAGCATAAGGCTTGTCAAGTTTTGCAATTAAAATTTTAATCTCAATGGAATAATGCCAAAAATTTATGTTCAAATTGCACCCGTGCCCTGTGCGCTTTCTTAATGGGCATTTGTAAGTATTCATTTGGCATATGCAGGGAAGTGACTACTATATGAGATGATGATTACATTAAAGCGACCTATGCCTAATGAACTTAAATTAAAAGCATAAGCTCCATTGCATCTAATGGATGAGATATGGTTCCTCCCCCCAAAGGAATAAGCTTTTAAGCTGAGTTCTTACTTTTTTCCTGGTCTAGATATAACAATAGAAGTGTCTTATTATTCAAATTCTATTTACCAAATTGTTCATTTTAAACAAAAAGTGTTTAGTGCTAAAGGCTGCAGTGAAATGCAAATGATGCATACACTTCAAATGAAATTTGATTCCATGCACAAATTATGTAAAATACATGGCTTTGATGTTTTACGGATTGACTTAAAGCAGTCTTTGAAGCAATTATTTTTGGTCATTGGTTCAATAGGGCAAGGAAATAGATTCATATTTTCTTCCTTTTTTTTACTTGCCAATATAGTGGGTTAACATTGTTAGGATGCTTGATGAATTGGAACTTAGTTATCATGTTAAGGGACTCAACCCTTGAAATCTTCATCTTCAGAAACTAATTTAAAACTTTTAGTAATTCTTTCAAATATTAAAATTATCAGTGTAGTGTTTTTTTCATCTCATGTATTTTGTGCAGCCATTTATTGTACTCGTGTTGGCTCGATTGGTGGCAGTTTCATTGGTATGGAAAGATCTTTTGAGCTTGTATACTTTTAAGCTATGATGCACCAACACGGCACTTAGAGAGGGTATGCAGTGTCGGACATGTGTCGGACACGGACACGCATCGGACACGGCATGGACACGTGTTCGACACGGCATTGGAGTGTCGCAATTAAAAATATTAAAATTAAAATCGGACACGCGTGTCCGGTTATTAAATGAGGTATCGCTAGGTACATGCTCGGTACCGTTCAGTACATGCTCGGTACCGCTCAGTACATGCTCGGTACCGCTCAGTACATGCTCGGTACCGCTCAGTACATGCTCGGTACCGCTAAGTATATGCTCAATACTGCTAGGTACATGCTCGGTACCACTCGGTATCTTCCCATACAAACAACTTACGAACTTTAAAAACAAGCAGAACTTCAAAATTACTCTTACAATAAAATTTTCTTCCCGGGCCCCGGAAACCCCCGCAGGGGCGCTGCCCCTTGACCCCGCGACCTGACCGGGCAGGTCGAACCCCGCCAGGGGGCAGCGCCCCCTTGGACCCCCGGCAGACTGGTATATTGTTGTATTCATGTTGTCTTATTATTGGGATATTTTGATTTCACTTCATATCAATTTAATTTGGTGTACTTATATGTATGATTGGTTTGTTAGCAAAATGAGCTATGCTACTGGCGGGGGTGGATTAGATCAAGGTTCAAAAGAGACATCTGTCCATGCCGTGTCCGTGTCCTATATTTTTAAAAATTATTATATATTATTTTAGAAAAATATTATGCCGTGTCCACGCCGTACCCGTGCCCTATATTTTTAAAAATTGCCGTGTCCCGTGTCCGTGTCGCCGTGTCCGTGTCGGTGCATCATAGCTTTTAAGTTGTTGAGATTTATGCTTTTAGCCTCTTTGTCGAAAGATCTGCTCTTAAGTTGGATTTTGTTGGTTGCCTAGGGTTGTTTCCTCTGTTGCTTAGTCCAAACTCTTTTTCTTTGCAATCATTGCATATTTTGGCATTTTATGAACATAAAAAATTTCAAGGTGATTTCATCATGAAAAGGAATTGCAATAATGCCATGGATGTTCAAGCTTCCAAGTTAAACCATCTGGTGATTTGTCTAAAAAGCCTCTTCTCTGTATGTTGAATAATATTTGTAATGCTCCACACATTTTGTACACTTATAGTAACCGTTTAGCTTTTTCTAGTATCAGTAGAGCACTTGCATATCCTTGTGCTTCAATGAAATGAACATCCTTTTTTCCTTTGTTTGCACCTTGTGCACTGAGGGAATTGGCATAAAGTAGCATGGCTTGTGACATGGGATATAATATCCTTCTAATGGATTGTGTAAGTATGTGATTACACAAACTTTAATAGTTATTGGCATATTTTGAGATGAAAGTAATGAATAAAGATGTAATGGAGATTTTAGTATTTCAGTGTTAAATATATCAAGAATAAAATTATTGTTTTAACCAAATTTGGTGCTTATCTCCTTTCTCTCTTTACTAATGGTTATTTTCCCTTACTTTCAGGCATAGGTTATTGGTCTTGGTCATTATCTGACATCACTAGCTACTTCTTTGAGAGCTTATTTATATGGACTCTGAAGCAGTTCCGGAGTTGATATTTGACCAGGGCCTGGGCATATACTATCCTGCTGTCACCGATTATTATGGTTATTACTATACAGGTAGACTTCATTTTTACCGTTTATATTTGAATGCATTATTCTTTGATGTTTTTAATATTTTCTAATCCTTTTCTATGTGAATGGCTAAATAACAGGTCCTGAACCTACTCTTAATGAGTGGGATTCGCACCATCAGTATTTTGGGCAAGATCAACATATTTCTGTATGTATTGCAAGTTGGCTATCTTGTACTACGTATATATGCTATCATTAATCTATTGATTGAACAAATGCTCGTTTTGTGCTTTGCAGGCTGTGCAAACTGAAAGTTTGCCAAATGTATATTACATTCCTAGCTATGGATATGTACAGTCTCCTTACAATCCATATAATCCTTCCATTCCTGGGGCTATTATGGGAAATGAAGCCTCGTTTATAGAAACACATTACCCTGCTAATCCTCCACATCAGTTGGTTGTTTCTTCTCCTGCTTATATACCAGTTGGCATTGATTCTAGCTCAGATACAGTTCCAAATAGCTATCTGAGCCCTTTATTGACAAGTACCGGTGCATTTCCAGCTATGAAGCCTGAAGGTGAGATCAAAAAGTTGGCAGCCCCATTAGCACCTCAATTGGCTCCTATAAATAGATCTCATGCCTCTCTAGTCGCTTCAGAGCATTTGGCGTCCAACACATTGCAGTCATCATCTAGTCATTCTTATACTATTCCAATACCAAAAGAAGTTTCAGTTGCTAATACAGCACCAGCTAAGCAATCTTCAGCTGGATCCTTCATTAATGGTAGCCTCAATGGTGTTAATCAGGTAAATGCCCTTGGCTTTATTCATCCAGTTGCATAATGTTAGCTTGCCGTTGGATGGGTTGTTTGTTGTCTGTCTAATATAATAGCTAGGCCCATGAGTTTACAGCGAAGGATAACTTTATGGTTTAGGCACTTATAAGAGTTGAGTCTTCTGTAAACTTTACTGTTATTCTCAAACTACTCTAAACCTAAATGAGAAGATTCCTTTATTTGTTGTGGAAATTTAGTGTCTTTGTGGGTATTTTCTTATGAATTTCTCATTAGAAAATTTGTCTAATCCGGATTTCTCGAAAGTAAAATTTAAAGCTTATACATACTCATATGTGATTCATTTTTATTTTATTTATTAACACAGGGAGCAAATCAGTTGTCCAATCTGAAGGTTCCATCTATGTATCGCTCGCCAAAAGTTAGCGTACCACCGGGTAATGGATATGCTAATTATGGGTCTGATCTTAACCAATGGACTACTGGGAGTACTGGGGATAGGCTAAGGCCAAGGTTTCAAATTGGTGGGCCTTGGGTCAATAAGAATGGAAGCCTTCCCGAACAAAATAGAGGCCCTCGCACTGACATCACAAAATGTCGATGGGTTTCTCCGCTTTGTGTAAAAGCATATACTTCGAAAGCTGGCACTGTTGATTCTGATGGAAATATTATTATTAGCGCAGACCAGTTTAATAGGGATGACTTTCCCATCGATTATGATGTTGCCAAGTTTTTTGTTATTAAGTCCTACAGCGAGGATGATGTACATAAGAGCATCAAGTATAATGTATGGTCTAGTACTCCAAGCGGAAATAAGAGGCTCGACAATGCATTTGATGAAGCACAGAAGTTATCTCTTGGAAGGCCACAAAAATGTCCTATATTTCTCTTCTTCTCGGTAAGTTTGAGTGATTTTAGATGAAATCATAGCTGTTCCAACTCTGATTCTTATAGCTGCTGCTGCTGCTAAGCATTTCGTGCTCATTAAAAGTTGATAAATATGCAGGTTAATGCCAGTGGACAATTCTGTGGTGTTGCCGAGATGTCTGGTTCTGTTGATTTTCAGAAGGACATGGATTTCTGGCAGCAAGATAAATGGCTTGGCAGCTTTCCAGTAAAGTGGCACATAATAAAAGATGTGGCAAACACTAGCTTGCGGCATATCTTGTTGGAGAACAATGAATACAAGCCTGTGACATGTAGCAGGGATACCCAAGAGGTAGGTTTTAGAATAAGAATAATTATAATAATTAAGTTTTCTGGTTCCATTTGTTCATATATACGAGTTTTTGCTCTTCTTGATTTCTATTCTGCGTTTATTCTTTTGATTATGGACTTTCTACTTGGATCATAAAAATTGTTGTTCCTTTCCTTGAACTGTTGTATATCGAGGGGGAGAAGTTTTGTCCTATTTTTGGCCCATTATTTGAATACCCAGTACTCGCTTAATACACTTATAGCTTGTTGGAGAAATTATTAATATTTATTGGACTATAATTACATTTCTTTTCCCCAAAAAAGTAGAACTGCTTGGCATTTTTTATTGATATAGAATTTTCTTTTATCTTGTATCTAATAAATTGTAATTCCCACCAAGCCAATCATGATTGGCAACAGGATTTTTGGAGTAATTTGTCTAAATTTCTATCTATTTTTTATTCTTTTTCATTCTTTGTGTTTAAATTCAGAACGGTCGATTGCACAAAATTATCTGATGATTAGTGGTTAAGTTGAGCCCTCGATGTTGTATCAAGCTTTAACCCTGGTCGTGCAGTAGTTGGAAGCTACCAAAGACTTATGAAGCTTTGAAACACTGACTAGAAAGAGTGTATAGAGCTAGCATTGGGTCCTTTCATGTAAATCCTAAAAAAATTCAGTTCATCATTAAGATTGTAGCCATTGAATTTATTTTTGAGATGAATTTGACATATGGACTGTCAATAGAAATGCAAATTAAAAATTTTTCAGTTTTGAGATTCATTTTGAGATTTAGCTCTTCTTTGTCTGTTTTTTACAACTAAGAGATTTTGAGTTCGAGTCTTACATTTGTGATGCATGTGAATTTTCCTTAAATGACCTAAATATACAAATAATAATAATAATAATAATAATTTTGAGTTGATTATTTTGCAATAGTAAGCATTTGTGAATTTAGAATTCTTGGATTGTCCGCTTAACGATTTTCTTTTTTCAGATACCGTTATCACAGGGATTGGCTATGCTGCGAATATTTAAGGCGGCCTCATCAGAGACATCAGTACTGGATGATTTCATGCATTATGAAGAGCGTCAAAGAATTTTGGTTGAGGAAAAATCCAGGATTTTTGGAAGAAGATACAATGCTCAATTCTTTCCTCCTGCTTTTGTTCCCTCCAAGAAGGCTGATTCGGATTCTGTTGTCGAAAAAGAAGCAGTTGCCGCAGCGGATGAATCCACCACCGCCGCCGCTGAATCCGCTGTGAAAGAAACAAATTCTACAACAGAGGAGCAACGCCCACGCCCTCCAGAACAAGATGAGAGGGAAACTCAACCAAAGGAAAATAGCTCTTCAAGAGAAATTAGTGAAGATTCAGAACCGTCCGAAGCCGCCGTGCAAAGCCCAAACAAACCTACTAATCTGGTTATATTGGGTCATAGCAAGGATCTGATTGGGTCTCTCTTGATTGATTCTAAAGCGGTTGAAGATCTAAGTATCAGTTCTCCAAATGATGTGATTACCGTTGGCTCAATGCACATCAAGGTTGGGAAACCTCCCTCTCCTCGCTGATCACTTTGTAATGCTCTTCTTCTTCTTTGGTGAAATCAATGGCTTCTAATACACATCTCGCACCACTACTATCTGTGATGCTGATGCTAATACCTCTCTCTCTCTCTCTCTCTCTCTCTCTCTCTATTGTTTTGTGACTGAAATGTGAGGAATTTGACTGGTATAGCATGGTTGATTTCTGAGCCAGCTGTTTTTTGGAAAAAAAAAATTCTCCAAGAATCGAAGGCAATACATTGTTAATGTATTATTATTATATGATTGCGGCTCAAACATTAAGAATTTCACTGATATTGGCGTACTGAAAGCCGGCTGTTTGTGGCAAAAACAAAAAAAAAGGTTGGGGGATTTTCCACAATTCTTATTTATCTATCTAATATTTAAATATTGATATTTATTTATATATTATTCTTATGAGTTTTAAATCATATCAAAAGTATTATTCATATTACTTTTTTAAAGTATTTTTTTTTATATTTTAAGCATATATTTTAATGTTATATGAATATTAAACTATTTGATAAATAAAATGTCTAATTTTAAGTGTTAAAATGTAAATATATAAATATATAAGGATTATGTGATCTGTAAATAAATAGTTAAAATAAAAGAAGCTTTTGTATTTTAAATTTTTATATGATTTAATATAGAAAAAAAATGGTGTTAGATGTAAATTATGTATGGAAATTTTAATGCAAGTTGTGTCGATAGATTTTATATTGATTGTGTTCGTGTCGCTAAAGTTGTGTTGTGATGACAATTCTTGTTGAGATGGCATTTAAATTTGCTTTGCCTAATCGTTAATGGTAGAAGCTTGTTCTCCATATAATCAGTTTCATGTTGCTATTTTCTAAGTATATCATCAAGGTTTCATTTGGAACAGTTCTTACCATTTTATGAAGTAGTATTTTAGTTTTTTTTTTTTAAACTAAAAAATTGCTTTATAAAAATAATAAAAAAGTTATCTCAAAAGTAGCCTAAGATTATTGGTCTTGATTCATAAATTAAACAAAATTTGTGTGATTTAGGTTTCATTTAGGATAACTTTTTTATCGCTTAAAATAACTTTTTATAAAAAAAAAAATTAATTTTATTTTAAAAGTTGTTTTAAGCAGTAAGAAAGTAGTATCAAATAATGTTTTAATTTATTATTTTAAGTGTAGATTTGACTATTGATCAATTATGAAGGAAAAAATAGTTTATATATTTTTATAAGCATTAATTATTATTTATTTTTTAATCATATTGATTGAAATTATTCTATTTGATTTTTTTAGCTTACTCAAGAAGTTTCCATTGATTTACTTTTAATACTTTAAATTAACGAATCATTCATCTCAATAATTAGATAACTGATTAGGGTGTTATTTTTAGATGATTGATTTATGATTAAATTAATTAAAAATTTCATGAAACTTTACATCAAATTACTTTTATAATTGTTGCGTGCTAGAATATACGCGGCAGTAGAGTTTGTAAATTCACGTCCGAACATTGTACGAGTATTCAGCACACAAATAGAAAAGAGAATACTAACGCCAAGGTTTTTACGTGGAAAACCCAAAAAAGGGAAAAAATCACGGGGCCTCGCCCAGTTGAAAAATTCCACTAATGTTTTTCAAATTACAAATGGCTGATTCGTCCCACAAGTCAGAGCAATCAGATTACAATTCGCTTGCAAATTTACAAAGTTCTGCAAACTCCTGGCGTTTCCTGAAAATCCGACAGAGTTCCGGCGTCTTCTGGCAACAGGAAGAGCTCCGGCGGTGGTCGAGGAAGAGCTTCTTCCTTCTCCTCCTTCCTCTCTTCTTCTTCTCTCTCTTCACTTCCGTCCCCCTTGTGAAGAATGAGAGCTCTATTTAGTTTTTCTGGAGTGGCATGGCTCGTAAATAGGTGTGAGATTGCGGGCGAATAGGGAGTGATTTGAATGGACGGCCGATATTGAACCCTTCGATCGTGCACCGTTCTTTGGACATTTTGAGGCCTTAATGATGTCGGAATTCTATGATCTTAGGCTCCTTGGTTTCGTCTCGTCGAGCCGCTCGATTCGAGTATAAGCTCATCAAAATCAAAGACCATTTGGTAACTCAAATTGTGGTTTGAACCTTCCAATAGCGCTTCGGGTCCTTGATTCGGACTCATTTGGGCCCGGATTGGGTTGATCTTGGTGTCATTGGGTTCGTATTTCCGAGACGCTCAGTTTGACTATAAGCTCGCTGAAATTGGAGTTCGGGAGCTTCCGGAATTAATTTTTGAAGTTTCCAACTAACTTTTGCCTCGAGATTCGTGCCCGATCAAGCTATGGATCCAAAAAATTCCGAAAAAATCTTAAAAAATTCCGAAAAATTCAGAAAAAATTTAAAAAAATTGGGAATTTTGAAAATTGCAATAACTCCCCCCTCATTCTCTCCAAAACCTATAAGTAGACCTGCAAAGCTTTTAGAAAACTTGCACCTTCTCTTTTTTATCCCTCTGGCTCTCTAACAGTTGAGGCTTCCGCTATTTGCGAATGAGAAATTTCCCTTGCTCGAATTAGCGCCCCTCCTCTCGTGCAGGAGTTACGGGATTTTTCTTCTCCTCCCCCGGCTTTTTGACGGTTGAGGCTTCCGTTATTTGCGAGTGGAAAATTTTCCCTGCTCGAATTAGCGCCCCTCCTCTCGTGCAGGAGTTACGGGATTTTTCTTCTCCTCCCCCGATTTTCTAAAGGTTGAGGCTTCCGCTATTTGCGAGTGGAAAATTTTCCCTGCTCGAATTAGCGCCCCTCCTCTCGTGTAACCCTCCTCTCGTGCAACAGTTACGAGATTTTTCTTCTCCTCCCCCGGCTTTTTGACGTTTGAGGCTTCCGCTATTTGTGAGTGAGAAATTTCCCCTGTTCGAATTAGCGCCTCTCCTCTCGTGCAGAAGTTTAGGGGATTTCTTCCGCCCCTCTGTTCTTTGAGAGATCTGTTGAACTGCAAAAATCCAGCATCGGGTAGAAATATGACATTGGGCAGAAGACCGACGAAAATCCATTGACGGACAGAAGTCCGACTGGTAGAAGTATGGCGTCGGGCAGAAGACAAACAAAATTCCATCGACGGTCAGAATTCCGACGACGAGTAGAAGTACGGCGTTGGGCAGAAGACCGATGAAATTTCGTCGACGGTCAGAATTCCGACGATGAGTAGAAGTACGATAGAAATCCAACGTTGTGTAGAAGTACGACCTTGAGCAGGAGACCGACGAAAGTTCGTCGACGAGCAGAAGTCCGACGACGAGTAGAAGTCCGCTGAGGAGCAGAAGTCCAACGACAGCGAGAAGTCCGACGTCGGGTAGAAGTTCAACGTCGGGTAGAAGACCGACGAAAGTTCGTTGACGAGCAGAAGTCCGACGACGAGTAGGAGTCCGCTGACGAGCAGAAGTCCAACGACAGTGAGAAGCCCGACGTCGGGTAGAAGTTCAACGTCGAGTAGATGACTGACGAAAGTTTGTCTACGAGCAGAAGTTCGATGATGAGTAGGAGTCTGCTGACGAGCAGAAGTCCGACTACAGGAAGAAGTCCGACGTCGGGTAGAAGTTCAACGTCAGGTAGAAGACCGACGAAAGTTCATCGACGAGAAGAAGTTCGACGACGAGTAGGAGTCCGCTGACGAGCAGAAGTCCGATGAGAGGAAGAAGTACAACGTCGGGTAGAAGTTCAACGTTGGGTAGAAGACCGACGAAAGTTTGTTCACGAGTAGAAGTTCGACGACGAGTAGGAGTCCGCTGACAAGTAGAAGTCCGACGACAGGGAGAAGTCTGACATCGGGTAGAAGTTCAACGTCAGGTAGAAGACCGACGAAAGTTCTTCGACAAGCAGAAGTTCGACGACAAGTAGGAGTCCGAAAATATTTGTTCCAAAATTTTAGACTAACTGAATACTTTGTATAAGTGATAGATTTATCAATCACTTGCGTTTTTGGAGTCTTTATAGAGAGAATATTGTTTACTCAGAATATTATTCGATGATGTTGACCTTTGTAAAAGGGCTCGAGAGAATCCACCAAGGATGTGAGACCTATCCGAGGTTGTATGTCGAAGTATTTGCTCGACGACGTTAGCTTGTGTGGAAGAGGTCGAGAGAATCCACCAAAAATGTGAGACTTATCCGAGGTTGTATGTCAGAGCCCTGCTCGATGATGTTAACCTGTGTGGAAGAGGTCGAGAGAATCCACCAAGGATGTAAGACCTATCCGAGGTTGTATGTCAGAGCCCTGCTCGATGACGTTAACCTGTGTGGAAGAGGTAAGATCAAAAACCCATGGGATTGATCATCTCGTGATTGAGATACAATGTAGATTGTATTTCTCGAATCACAGAGAAAGAGTTTGAAAAAAAAAAATTATCTTTCACAAGAGAAAATAATATCACAACAACATGAACATTATATTACTGCATTATGTAAGACAGTATAATAGTTTCCTCATATGAGTCAGGGATATACAAATTACAAAGTATTCAATACATAAGATCTACGTACGGTGACAATACAACATTTAACTTGAAAGAAGATATTAGAGATATCAAAGTGACACCATACTCAACATAAAAGAGACAACAAGACAAGTAGTATTTCTAATAGAAATGCGCTAAATGCGTGATCATTTAATCTCTCCAACCATCTGAATATTATTTAATGGTTGTCTTTGTTGTTGATTTTTCCCCCCAGTGGGACGAGCTCCCTCTCGAGTAAGTGGATCCCGAATAAATTGTCGAAGGTAGCCTTTGTGGTTAAGTCTTTCAATCTCATCCTTGAGTTGCTTACAGGCTTTGGTGGTGTGACCACGACTTCGATGAAAGTGACAGTACTGGTCTGCATTTCCTGTATTCGACTTCAAAGGATTCGGCCATTTCAATGTATCTTGATCTCGAACAGACATCAACACATTTGCTCGAGATGTGTTAAGTGGTGTATACTCCTTCTCCTGTCGAGGTTCCCATCGCGGTGATGGAGACCTATGTGGTAGATTATTCTTCCCTTGCTTTTTCTGCTGTGAGAAAGAATTGTCCATCCTAGGTACACCTTTGCGCTTCCCATTTATTTGCTCAAACTGCTTCATGTGAGCATTTATAGCCTCATCTGCAGAGATTTGCGCCTCCACGTGGTGGATCAAGTCGGCGTATGAATGGACGGTGTCTCGCATAAGGGCCGAATAGAAGGGGCCAGGACGAAGGCCTCCAAGGAAGACTCCTCTGAGTAATTCAGGGTCTACTCCTGTAATCTTTTAAGCCTCGGTGGAAAACTGTTAAAAATACTCCTTCAACGATT